AACTCTATTTAATTACGTCTAAATAAAGTGTCTTTGAGCGTCTTATGAATTTTTGTAATAGTATTAAATGAGAAAATCAGTGTCTAAAATTCTCATCAATAATTGTCCTTGTTGGTGAAATTGGCATACCTAAAAGAGAAAGAGGCGTGTAACAGTGACACTTCCAAAAGAAAGATCGTATATTATGCGTATTCAAAAACGATGTCGTGTTCATTTTGACTAACTATACTAAAAAATGATGAATAATCAAATCAACTGTGAGTGTATTATTATTACATTGGTCCCCTCTGTGTCCTTCACTTTGTGATGACTCACTCGTGATCTCTGAAAGAGTCTCATGACTTTTGGAGCTAATAATGTCTCTATGCCCAAATAAAGAAACTATAAGAGTAGTATATAGTTATTTATTGGGAATTGTGGAATAATAGAGTGAAACGAGGGCCACTTTATTCCTTATTTCCTCATGCTTTTTGTTTTCTTCGTCTGATTTTCGAACAATGGATCAGAATGCGTCTTAGTTCGTATATAATAATACATTTTTCTAGTGATGAAATGAATAACCAGAGAGTATTAATTAGGATATTTACTCCGAATATTAAACATATATCAAAATATTTCATTTTGAAAAATCCATTTTCAAACTAGGTTACATACTAATGGTTTTATTTTTCCTAATCGTAATACAAAAGATAAAAATTATACTAAATCGTGATATTTGGTATTGTCACCATCGTTTTTTTTTTTTGTCATTAAAAACGTTTACGGATGACCAAACATGATTGAAATCGTAGTAAAAGAAAATAAAATTTCTTGCCACCATTTTCGTTTTATGTTGATCATTTTCAAATTTATCCCATACAATTTAATACTCTTTTTTTCCTTTTTTCAACTTAGTTGATTGGGCAGCAAATATCTAACATACCTACGTGTTCCAGTGAGAGCGCACACATAATATGGGTAGAAAGTATAGAGAGTGATAGCACAATAATGGCTTCATACAAAATCTTTTTTATTCAATAATTTTCTAACTTTTACAAAGTATAAATACATAGCATGTGCTTAAAAGTTTTCAACATCTTCAAGACCCAC